GTGGGATCCGAACCCTCGGTGGGAGCGCCGCTGCGCTTCCCAAGCGGCGCACTACAGCAGTGCGCCACCGGGCCGGCCCACTAATCTGCTTTTTGTTCTTTGTTTCTCTTCAGCCTAATCTGTCTATAAAACCAACTTCCTCTGTTCAGCTCATTGGAACACTTATTCTATCTTATGGAATGAAGTGTTGCCTGATTTTACAATCACAATAAAGCCCATTGAGATCTTTAAATGTGTTGTAATTTTGTCTTTGACAGATTAGAGGATTGGAACTTTCAGCCCTACACACCAGCCTCCAGGAAAGATGTAGGGGATGTTGGAGATTGAACTCTACAGGAACTCTTAAACCATGAGATCCAGAGAATTTCTAGGTTGGTGAATAGACACGCTGACCTGCTGAGAGGGTGGCATGCTCGGAGAGAGCATGGAAGCTCCCCGTCACCCCGATGCATGTCCTCCACCTGGCTGTTCCTGAACTGGATCTTTTATAATAAAACAGTAAACATCAAGTAAGGCATTTCCCTGAGTTCTTCAAGCATTCCAGCAAATTATAATACCTGAAAGAGGACAGGGTTTTGGGAATATCCCAACTTTACAGCCAAGTTGGACATAAATGTGGTTTGCCTGGGGATCTGATCCTTGTGACGGGCATCTCAAGTGAGGGTGGTCTTGTGGGACTGAGCCCTTAAAACCTGTGGAGTCTGACATCAACTCTGGATAGTTAGCATCAGAGTTTAGTTGAATTGTTGGACACTCGATGTTTGTAGAGTTGAATAATTAGTTGTTGTCAGAAAAAAACCCACACATTGGGTGTGTGAACTGAAACTATTTTTGTTGAGACAGAAATAATTTTATGAAGGTTTATTGAGAGCCAAAGGTGAGGATTGGTGTGGGAAACACAAACCAACAAAGCTGGGAAGTGCTTCAAAGTCCATTACAAGCTGAAAGATTTATGGGAAAGTTTGGAAAAAGGAGGGGGACTCCCCATACCAGACTTGTCCCATTTTCATTGAGAGGTAAAATACAGAAGTTGCAACCACTTGTTACAGATTACACCACGTAAGTAAAAAATGTCTATGTGCAGGATGAGCATCCACGTGTAAGACAATGCTTCCACTCCTCTTAAAGATAGCTGGGCAAGGGCTGGCCCGTGGCTTGCTTGCGAGAGCGTGGTGCTGACGACACCAAGTCAAGGGTTAGGATCCCCTTGCTGGTCATCTTAAAAAAAAAAAAAATAGATAACTGGGCAGCTTATTCAGAATCAGAAGGTACCATAGGTTGAATGTGTCCCGCCCAAAGTTCACGTACTGGAAACTCGATCCCCACTGTAACAGTGTTAAGAGGGTGGGAAATCCCATGATAGTATTTAAAAGGTGAGGCCTTTAGGAGGTGACTGGATTGTGAGGGCCCTGCCCTCATGAATGTATTAATCCATCAGTGGGTTACTGGTTTAATGGGGTCTCAGGGAGTGGTTCCGATGGCTTTAAAAGGACAGCGAGTGAGGAGGCTAGCTCTCTTGCTCGTGCTCTCACCACGTGACACACGGTTCTCTGCAGAGACTCCCCACCAGCAAGAAGGACCTCACGGGATGTACCCCCTGGACCTTGAACTTCCTAGCCCCCACATCTGGAAGAAATAAATTTCATTTCTTTATAAATTACCTAGTTTCAGGTATTCTGTGATAAGCAACAGAAACTGGGAAATACAGCAGGCTACAGATTAATTGGTACATCAACCATTTTAAGAACTTACATGAATTCTTTGTTTAATAACATGATGTCTTACCCAAGTCTTGAGGTCCCCCTTCAAGGAAATTGATATTTTTTAGAGAAATGCTTCTGTAGCTGAGTCAGCTGCAAGTCATCAGGCATCTGAGATGTTGTGAGTAAAAACAGTACAGATTCCAAACGAGATTTGCCACATCTCTCCTTCCCACATAGTAGAGATTCCATTTCTTAAATATCCTGACCCAAATTCCAGTTCCTTCCACAGTCCAGCAAGACTATTGCTCCATTTGAACTTAACCTCATAGTGCCACAGCAGGAAAGTGTACACAAGGCAAAGAGAGGACTGAGGGACTAAAGTCATGCATTTCCTGTTGCTTTGCCTCACACAGGATGATGGAGATGCAAAAGGATACTCAAAGCCCATTTCCTCTGAGCAGTGAAAGACCCCAAAGGGGTTAATTTCCTGGAAACCTCAAGAGAGAGGCATTCCTTCCTTGGGAAATTAATGACAAACCGGGGTTCTCTCCCCGTATTTATTCTCCAGATGAGGAAATTACAGAAAAGGAACATAAGTGGAGTTATGGCTAAGTATAGTTTAACAATAGAGGCTGGTAACATCAGTGAAATAACAAAGTGACATTCCATAGTGCAATATGCAAAAGGTTAAGTTGATCCACCAACAAAAACTTGATCTTAGCAAACATTCTCTTTCTCTACAGCAGTTTCCTTAGTATGTTTACATAACAATCAAGTAATTTGTCTGTCCTTGAGCCAGCAACTTTGCTGTTTTACAATTCTTTATCTATATCAGAGACTTGTGCCTAGGGAAAGTTTCCTGTCTTTTGCAAGGTTAAGATTTCTGTGTGTAATTCCAAAAGGTTAGGCTAAACCTGAAACTACAGGGCTTTGGAAACTAGGCCCTGTGAAATACATTTGCTTTATAAATGTTAGTGCTCTCTACAATTTCCCTTCCCTCAAGGGTCACCTTCCTGAAAGGCCTGTTGTGCAATGCCTGAAAACAACATCCTTATATTTTGTCATTTATTATAGTTGTTTTTCAGGTGAAAGCAGCCTGATATGTTAAGGTCATCAGCAGAGTAGAAGTTACAGATATTGAGCCTTCAATCATTGTGGCTGTTGTGCAGACAGTGGACCAAAAGAGCTAAGATTAGAGGAAGTTTAGAGGTTTCTGGAATAAGTCCTGGAATTACTGGAATAAGAAGACGATGGCCTCAGGGATAAGGAGAAGGAAAGAGATATGTTAGTGATCTAGGAGACAAAAAGGAAAAGAATCAGACTTCATTTGGGGGATTTAGGGCAAAGAAGAGTTAGGGATAACTTCTATGTTTGAGCATCCTGAGTTGGTGCTATCCAGTGATACAGGTCAAGTCTGATATGCACATGACTATTCACACCTTTCTTACAAAAAATATATTGCACTTAAAAAATGAGTCATAGATTTTATTTAATAAAGAACTTGAGGAGCCCACTCAATGTACGAATGTGTGCTCACAAATTATGCTCTGTATGTCCTTACAGACACACATATACTTCTATTAAAATGTATGGGATGTACACTCTGCTACACAAAGCATGCATACACACAGAACGTAATTCTACAACACAAATGAACTGATGTTTTCAAAGAAAAAACTCTACATAAATCACCCTCTCAATAATTATTCTCAAAGGTGCACTTTCCTTAGCTCCAAGCAGGATGGTCTTATATGAGGGTCCTTATCCCTGAGTTGAGATTGAAGAGCATCTGCCATGAGGGGAACAGAAATCACAGCCATCCACAGTAAGGAGATCCAGCAGCAGGAAAGGGGCTGACAAACTCTTCTGGGTTTTTCTCTGGAAGACTTCAACCCAGATCTACTCCCACAGATACTAAGTGGAAATAATGAGAAGCAGACTCCACACAGAAGAAAAACATTTCAGATGGGGCTTAGAGGGTCAAGCCAGACTGCTTCACTGTCCCCCTAATCTTGACCACAACGATGACAGTAGGGTATATCAGACTGACTGTGAAATGGGTTACCACGAGCTTCTAGGGGGGTCTTCTTCGAGTAGTGGTTTTTGACAATTATGAGTGATTTAAGTTAGCAATGACATTAAAACTCTGAGGGAAACCACAGACCCTCAAGAATGTGAGTTGTTCAAGAGTTTTTCAAGAGTATATTGTTTAATTTCCACCTATTTGTGAATTTTTCTGTTTCCTTCCTGTTGTTGATATCCATTTTCCTTCCATTGTGGTCAAAGATACACGGTATGATTTCGATCTTCTTATATTTGTTAAGAGTTGACTTGTAACCTAACATGCAATCTATCCAGAGAAAGTTCTTGTGTGCACTTGAGAAGAATGTGTGTTCTGCTGTTGAGTGGAAAGTTCCGTGTATGTCTGTTCAGCTCATGTGGAATAAAGCTGGTCAGGTCAGCTATTTCTTTACTGTCTGGGTGTTCTCTCTGCTATGGGAAGTGGGATATTGAAGTCTCCTACTATTATCCTATATGTAGTCAATTTCTCCCATCAGATCTGTCAATGTTTGCTTTATATATTTAGGTGCTATTCACATAATTTGCCATTTTTCTAATAGGTTTTTGACTTTTTGTCAGGTTAGAAGAGCTCTTTTTTTTTTTTTTTGACCGGTAAGGGGATCACAACCCTCAGCACTGTGTGGTCTGCACCACGCTCAGCCAGCAAGTGCACCGGCCATCCCTACATAGGACCCGAACCCGCGGCCTTGGCGCTACCAGTGCTGCACTCTCCGAGTGAGCCACGTGGCGGGCCCAGAAGAGCTCTTTTAATATTTTGTCGTAAATATGAACTGTGAATAAATTTTGTTAGTCTATGTGGGTTGTTTTAGTCCCTTAGAAGTATCTAATTATATTATAGCTAAATACTTTCCCTCTTCTTTTATGGTTTCTGTATATCTGTTGTCATGTAAAAGTTTTTACAATCTATACATTGTATACAGATTTTCCTTTCTTATTGTCTATTTCACCCACTGAAATGTATTCTTTATGTGGAAAAGACTTGACCTATCTTGTTTATTACTGTATCACCAGTACATAGAACAGGCCTAGAGTACGGCAATAGCTTAATAGGTAAATTTTGAGTAAATAAATGAAATTATTTTTATTTCTGTAAACTCTGTGTATGTACCAGGACTGAACCAAGTAGAATTGTCAGAATCGGAGAGAAGACATTTCTCCCTCTCAATATGTACTATGATCTTCAACTCAA